TATTATTATTATTATTATTATTATTATTATTATTATTATTATTATTAAATGTAGAATTATAAAGGGAATAATATGAATCTAAAAAGGAATAAGACAATCAGTCATTTACATGAATTAAGTTGTAGCATGCTATGCTAAAGTGAGTAATTATATTAATAATTATAGCCCAATTCTAACAGATATTATGCCATATATCAGACCCAATCAAGTGAAGTTTAACAGTAAAAAGTCTCCTTAAAGAGTGTAAGTGAATGTCCCAAAACCAAGGCACATCTTTCATTACCGGGAGAGTATTCCTCTTGTTTTGTCATTAAAGAAAAAATGTGCAACACTAATGCTCACCGTCGACCGGCAACATCTTCCTCTCTCACAATAATTCGATTAATATTGTGAAGCGTCTTCCATGCTCCATAAATTCAACACCAGCGTAATGAGAAAAGGGAGATTTAGAGTTACTGATTGTAAAAAAAAAAAGGGAGATGTGCATATATTCCAGTTGTTCTGCATTAGAGGGAGCATCCTTATATTTTTCCATGTTTTCAGGTTTTTCTTAACCCATAAGAGCCAAAAATAACCATAATGTTCACCAGTCAGTTTTCCCAAAATATCCAGAAAACAGCATCCATCTTTTACCGTAATGTAGATTAGAAATTTATCCCAAATCGATTTAAAAGGTAGCTAAAAAAAAAAAAAAAAAAATCTGGAAATTTGACCAGATAGCAATTAAAAAAGAAGATTCTTAAACCGTCTGCTTTTTCAAAAGAATACAATTTTAATGAACCATCTTTGATCTTAGAGTATTCATATTCACATGAACTGCACATGGTTTTAAAGTTAATGCATTTGCATATTATAATATATAGATTTCTAAAATGTCAGTTGCAGCTGAGGTATAGATTCCACATTCATCATCATTTTAAAACAGTTTTTCCATAATTTTTTTACAGAATGATCACCACATTGGTATGGATGTTAAAATATATATATATATTTATTTATTTTTATTTTTTTAGATATTACTGGCCACTGAATGAAATAACTCACAAAGAACGTGGATTTTCTTCCTTTTTTCTGGATGTAAAATGTTTTATTAAAGGTCCTTTGGTTCAACAAATACAGAATAGCGTGGTGAAATCATCATTGCTTTTGCAGGTAAAACCTGTTTTATGCTCTCAGACCAGCCATGTTCCAGATCAATATAGTCCCCTTTCAGCAGTATGCTGGATTAAAATCTGTCTCAGTACCCTGTGACAAAGTGGTTAAGTATATGTTCACCATTTGTCCCTTATTATTTTGATACATTTATTTTGTAATGGTTATAATGCTTAGATTTAAACATTAATGCAACCTTGCTTCATTTACTATCCCGGGTTTGTTTGTGTTGATATTGGGTTGCAGTTTCCATCTATTTATATGTTTAGTTTAAAGCTACCACTTTTGAATTATTGGTTGAACTTGTAGATTCTTGGTATTTGTGTTTCTTTTTATTTACTATTCTCCCTTGTAGCTTGGCAGCAGGTCAGGAGTGTGGGAGTGGCCGGCCCATTGCTTCCTGTTGAATGGCTGAATGATGTCAATGAGTACCTTGCTGGGATCTACCAATTAGAGGGTTTCCTAGTATTGTTTTGTTTGTTCTTTAAAGTAACTTCTGAGTTATCTTGTTTGGCAGGGTTTATTTTGTACATTATTTTATTAGGATGAGTTTGTAAATTAGATTAATATTATTCTTGTTTTTGTTTAGACTTTGTCTTTGTTCCGTTGTTACCTGTTTGATTGTGGCTTGGCCCAATTATGTGCAGCTGTGTTGCCAATTGGCTTTAAAAGGAAAAAACAGTGTTTGTGGGGGAAAAAAAGAGAGCGCAGATGTTTGTCATAGGAGGAAAAATACAATAAAATTCTTCAGAAAACACTGGAACCTGGTGATTTGTGCAGCTTGTTTCGCTCACTTTGAAGACCCTAGACCACACTATCTTACAAATGGTGGCAGCGGTGGCTCCAGGCCAATAAGTGACGGACATGCAGAAATCAACCAAATCAAGGAAGCAGCAGGTGCCACTGGATTCGATAGAAGAGGTCCAGGATGAGGAAAACCAGCCAGGTGCTTCTGGTGAGCAGCGCCCTGAGGAACAAACTTTTTCGGAACTCTCAGCTTTATTGAAAGGCCTGATGCAGCAGTTTGCTGACCAGGAAGTAAAGTGGGAGCAGGACAGACAACGCCAGGATGACCGGTGGAGGAGAACTGAAAGACACAAATCAGATGTTTTCAATCACAGATACAGCTGTTCACACGCCCACCTTCATTTCCACTATTTCCTGCTATGAATGGGGAATTCACTCATACCGGATGATGTTTTTTTTTCACCCACTGAACGGGACGTGCAGAAATGCCTCTCAGAGCCAAATCTGGCTCCATATCGCAAAAAAGAGGAACTAAAAATAGCAAATAAGAACTAAAGTAACCACAGAAGACATCCGAATTGTAGAAGTGAATGAGAGTGTGTGGTGACTAATATCCTGTTAGGAGGAGGATCTCAGGGAGGAAAGTGAAGTTAAAAAAGGTTTTAATTAACAGAAAACGCACTCAAAAGCAGTGGATGACCAGACAAGGTTCAAAACAAGGCTGTGGCAAAACTATGAACAAAGTATCAAAGCATAATTAACAAGACTATGGCAAAAGTATTAAATAAAGTAAACAAGACTATGGGCAAAGTGTCAAAGTAAGTAAACAGGACTGTGAATAAAGTGAACGAAACTATGGAAAAAACAAGACTGTGACAATGTACAAAATCAAAAGACTCTTACGTGTTGTGGACAAGACGAGGAACGAAAGGACAAAGCCAACCCAGAGAAAAGTAGAATTCTAAAGGGAATAATATTAATCTAAAGGCATACAATCAGCCATTTGCATGGATTAAGTTGTAGCATGTTATGCTAAAGTAAGTAATTATAGCCTAATTCTAACAAGAGTGTGTGGTGGTGACTAATATCCTGCAGACATCATTAACAAAAGCCCCTTTAAACTGAGCCTGAAACACTGTTTTGCACCTGAGAAAGAAAAACTAAATAAAACAGGAACCCCTTGCCACTTTTATCTGGAGGGATACCCTTTACAATCTTCTGTTCTTAGAAAGAGCTTTGATCCATGCTGGATTAGCATAAAATACAATAGCGGGTTAAATTCTGAGCATGGATGAAACGTCTCACTGTTAGAGGCAGAGCTCCAAAAAATTCACATAAAATGTGTAGTCTTGGGCTCCATCAGTACCTTTGGGGCATTTCCAGTTATAAGACAGACAGGGTTGCTTGTGGGGGTCCGCCTCATGTAGCCAAAAAGCTGCAAGTTTGAGGATTTAGGCAAAAAGATTTCATCTTATCATGATGATACATGTTTTTTTCTCCAAAAAGCAAAGTTTGTTTGTGGAAAAAAATAACTCGAACATGGGGTAATAAATCATAAAATCACAAAAAGCAAATAAAGAATAAATAAAAAAATTAAATAAAATCACAAAAGGCAAATAAATAAACACATTTAAACTTTTTTAAAAGGCATTAATTATTAAAAAATCCTTAATTAAATGGAAGGGAAGAGTGCAGCCAAAATACACTCAGATGTCATAATACAGTTTAAAATGATGCTTTCAGCCTGGATTTAAACAGATTTCTGAGTTGAGGCCTGTCTCAGCTCTTCAGGAAGACACCTTTAGACCTATATATATACACATATGATATACATAGTTATTTATGTATATATTTATCTATATTTTGTGTGGAATTTTGTATATATATATGTGTGTATATATGTATAGACATGTATATATGTATTTGCTGTTGTTTTATTTATGGGGCTAGTAACAAAAATAATTTCCCTCTGGGATTATTAAAGTATTTCTAATTCTGATTCTGGTTAAAATTCTGGTCTAAAGTCTGGAAGCCAGAGCACAGACCTGAGCACTGGACTAAAATGGTGGTTAGATTAAGATAGCTGTGAGCTAGCTAGTTAGCTAGCTAGCTTAGAGCCCGGTGAGAAGCCGTTACAGAAGTCTAACCTCACCTAAAGATGGACTTTAGCCCTTTAAGCCCGATCCAAGAAAAATAGGAAGAATATTGGATTTCTTTAGTCTAAAGTCTTACTTTGGCCCCTCAACAACATATGAAGAAAAAAAAAGAAATTATTTTGATCAAATTAGCGTACAATAAGTCAAAAATACATGTTGGTGTAGTCTTCTACTGGCTGTTATCAGGTATATCTGAATGTGTACAACAGGGGTTTGAGCAAAGCTTTTACCACTGAATGATGCAGAAAGTCTCAGATCCAAAAGACTTCAGAAACCAGATCAAATATGACACATTTGGCATTATAGGGCTAAGCTAGCTGTCTCACAGCTAGCTTAGAGCTTGGTGAGAAACCGTTACAGAAGTCTAACCTGCAGGAGACAAACGTATGGATCAACCTCTCTAATCCATTTTTACGATGTGGCTTTGATTAAAATTGTATCTATGTGTGACCAAGGCTTGACCCTTTTTACCTCCCATCAGCAGGGGAACACATACTATGGGAAATGTACAAAGTGAATCAACCAAAAATGAACTCAGAAGCTTAAAAAGTGCAGAATACTTCAAAGAAACTACAACTCTGGAGGAATGAAGGACTCAACTTTTTCCCGTCTCACTGTGCTTCATTTAGAAAGTCAGAATAGCTTAAATGCTCACTCAGAGCTTTTACAGAAAGGTTTTCTTTGATCAAGTTGTAATGCGAAACAGCAAAAAGTATTTTGTTAAATAGTTAATGGATAGAAGAGCCGAGAAATAGATTAAAAAGTTCATTCTGAAAGCATGAGATCTGAGTTGTTTCTCATTAATTTCTCCTTTGAATTTGCGCAGTTTATTAAACTTCATTAAAGTCCATAAGAGGAAATGTCTATGGAGAAGAAAAGAAACAGCATTCCCACATATTCAATTAACCATTACTTGGTTGTACATATCAAATATTTCCAATAAATGCTATTTGGCTGTTTGTATCTTTTTTTACTTGTAGAAAGATCTCAAAATTCAGTTAAATTCAGAATGGAAATGTGGTCATTGCATGAGCATTTACTTTTAGTTTAATGTAATAACAGTATCCAGACATTATTTGTTATTTGAGGAATGAATGACTGAAAGAAAATCCACACTTCAGTAGTTATTATTGACACTTTGTAATTTAAATTAAACACGAACAGCAAAGAGTTGGTGAACAAAATTTACAGAAATTAAGTATTTGACTGAGCTGTACTCAGTTTCCCATAGCTGTCAATAATAGGAGTAAGTGGACACAGAAAATGGATAGATACTCCATCCATAGTCTCATTTCGTACATATTCTATAGGATTTCTCTCTTTCTGGGTGTCATGGCCGCCACCGTATTCTGATTGGAGCAGGTGTTTCAGTCCATCGACCAATCAGGAGCCACCTGAGGCTATAAGGAGCCAATAGAGCAGAACCTCTGTCTGCTCATGATAGATATATATAATAATAATAATATTATATTCATTGTAATTGTTATGAGGGCTGTTAGTAGTGTATTCAATTCTTCTTTTCGACTTCAACCAGCACTCGTTTAGTCTTTAATTGCCTCTCTTTTGTGTTCATTGTCGAAATATTTCCTCTTGTTGATGGATGACTTTAATTGATCCCTAAACCATGAGTATTTGTTACCCCCCCCCCCTTTTCCCAATAAGCTGGTTGTAACCAACAGTATTTCTCTATCAGCTAGTAAAGAAGACTGTCAAACATAAAATGTGTTTGGTATTTAACCTTCTAAAAATTAGATCAACCTGATGCCATTGCAACTTCAATGTTATTTTAAATGAATTGTTTGTCCCATTTATTTAACAGAAACAGCTAATTTAATGCTCATTTAAACAAATAAAGAACATACTTCACACTGAGCTTGTGTATCCTAAATATAAATCAATTAAATAATATAATATAAATTAAATATAAATTATAAATAGAAATATCTATAAATTTATAAATATTTATATTAATATATTTTCTGATTTTAATGTCTGGTTGTCAGGAATTAGTAGAGTTACTCTGGTTTTACTGTAAATAAGTTGGTGTTGCACATCAGTTACCTACACGGTGTGAATGTGAAAGCACCTTAAAGCTAAAATAATACAAGCCTTGAAGGCATTTTTGTCCTTATTTTGCACATTTATGGAAAAATGCAGGCTGTCAATGCTCTGCTCAAAAACGATATATAAATAGCAGGGAGAATTCAGAAGCTTGACAGCTTGACTTAGTGAACTTTGACTGTGGTGAGAGTCTTTAAACTGCACATGGGGACGATAAGGAGCGTGACTTGGCCTTTTGCCTCCAACCAGAAGTTTAAAGAGGCTGTCATGCTGAGCGCACAGTGCTAACGTTTGGTCACAGAAACTGGAAAAGCAGATGTAATTTTTCAAAGGAAACCTGGGGTTTTGCGTGTCCTCTTAATTGTGCTTTTAGGCCCGGAGCTCCAGACCCAGTAAGAGTCTCCGCAATGATGAAGACACCACCGGGTTCTCCTGTCTTAAAGGGGACATATTATGCAAAACCAAGTTTTTAATCATGTGATTGTGTACATTTGGGACTGTGGAGGGCCTATCAGCAGGCAAAGTGTGAAAAAAAATGACTCAGTCGTGTTTTTGTGGGCTGCCTCAGTCTCAATCCAGGAGATAAATCAGGAGGTTTCACATAGTTAATTAACCATTACTTGGTTGTACATATAAAATATTTCCCCTAAATGCTGTTTGGCTTTCTGTATGTTTTTGTGCTTGTAGAAAGATCTAAAAATTCAATTAAATTCAGAATGGAAATGTGGTCACTGCATGAGCATTTACCTTCAGTTTAATGTAATAAAAGTATTCAGACCTTATTCGTTATTTGAGGGATGAATGACTGAAAGAAAATCCACACTTCAGTAGTTATTATTGACACTTTGTAATTTAAATCAAACACGAACAGCAAAGAGTTGGTGAACAAATTCACAGAAATGTAGTATTTCAGTGTGTTTCTTAAAGAGGACATATTATGCTAAAGCAAGTTTTTAATCATTTGATTGTGTACATTTGGGACTGTGGAGGGCCTATCAGCAGGAAAAGTGTGAAAAAAAATGACTAAGACCAAAACAAACAGACTCAGGGATAGCTTCTTCCCCAAAGTTGTCACCTTACTCAATCAACATCCAGACTAGTACTAGTACTAGTACTCCAGTTGCTCTAATGTATTGGATATGTATGTGTTATGTTATTTATGTGTCCACTTTTACGGAGCTGCTCCCCAAATCTCATTGTACTGTGTACAATGGCAATAAAGGCTTTCAATTCGATTCAGTTCAATTTTTGTGGGCCGCCTCAGTCTGAATCCAGGAGATAAATCAGGAGGTTTCAGGAGTGGGTAGTTTCTGACGTCATTAGCTCTAGCTCATTATAATATTATTATTATTATAATATTAATAGGGGAGAGTGGGGTAAGATGAGCCATTTTTTACTTATGTTGTTCTGGACGTAAGGAAAAATGACACAGAAATAGAATGAAAACATATTATTTTATTTTAGGATGTCTCCTATCAAATGAAATTATCAGAATGCATCTCTGACAAAGCTGCCCAAAATAATGACTTCTCAAAAAAAAGTGCTCCTGTGG